GTTTAGTCTCGCGCAAAATATTTGCATCGTCGTTGCATCCACGCGGGTGTATTACACGCGTATCATATGAACCTGAAAACGGCAACAACAACAATCTGCGCTGTCGGGAGAAGGCACGACCGTTGTGCTGCTGCAGCCTACATCGCCGACCGACGTCAATGGTTCATCGAATGACTTTCCCTAGTGTCGGGTGACAGAGCTTTTAGAATCCATCCATGAGTAAACCAACCCGATGACTGCAAACGTATTACTACTATATCCGAGGTGCCATCCCCTCCCCCATCCCCACCCCCTGCCCCCTTATTCCGCTCTCCATGGTTCTCGAATCGCGTGAGGGTGTAATGGAAATCATTTACCATTTTATCATGATGTATAGATATATATAGATTATATACGTGTATATATATGTACACATATGCTTCATTAAATCCACTATTACTTGACAATATATTTGTGCAACTGGACATGGAGATACATGCATATTTTATATCACATCGTTACAGCATGAAATGAATATTCTTTTAATTAAAAACAAAATAAAAAATTGGTATTATTTCTCTAGTAATTTTTTATACATTTGTTAGCGTAAATATGTGATATAAAATTTGCGAACGTAAATAGACAGAGCAAAAAACTTGAAAGAGTGTTTTCGGAAATATTTTTTCAATCTTTTTCCACGAAAATAAACGTGACATTGTCTCAAATGAAACACACGTCTCTTCGTGGAGATGAGATCTGATCGCGCTTGATTGTATTCGGAGACAAATTAAACCGCTAATTGCGACTTCCCATGAGGATAATCTCACCTCATTAGATAATCCTGACATTGCTGCACATCGGTTCTAATCGCGCGAGGCTCAATAACGTCAAAGACCGTAATTACCCGATTCCGCAGCCGTTCGGAATGAAGCTCGCATCCGTACAAGTTCGAAACGCGAGATATCGAAAGCAGTAGAGACATGGTCTTTCTCTCCATAACTTTGACCTAGATTTTCTATGATTTTATCGTTGCTCTTTCGAGCTTCGTTGATTTTTAAATTAAAAAAAAAACAATTTACTTTAGCTACTGCGTTCGAACGGTAGAAACTTCGTTAAAAATTATTTGCAGGTACGTCTTATGTCATATGTTGTCGCAATGATAATTAGAATCGCAGAGAAATTTGTTGGTCTCATCCGGGACACCGCATAGATCTCAACGAGGCACATCCTCTTTTGCAATACGGAAAACAACAAGTGATTAGTTACTTTCAGGATATAATTATACGTCCGCGTACGTATGCGCAACGCCGTCTCCGTAATCTTCGCTATTTATAATCTCAATGGCATTCCCGTCGCTATAGCTATACGGCAAATGATTTTTTTGTCACTGGGTCTTCTTTTAAATATCGTCGACGTAATTGTCGTCATTAAAACAGCCATTATATCTTTTCGTTTTCCATCCAGAAAAAAATGGTGAGTAATATTTTTAAAAACTATTCTAACCGATAGCTTGCATATCAAACGTAAAAAATCCGCTCGCACACATTTAAAGACGCAGCACAGACTTTTGCATAACGCATAAGCGAATCGACCAATCAGAACCCTTCCTTTCCTCCTATCTGAGAAAAAAGAAGACTTAATTGGTTGATTCTCTTATGCACTATTCATTATGTGTTGCGCAAAAGTCTGTACTACGAGTATTATACTTGAATGTACACTGAGAAAATTTCTGGTTAAGAATAAACGAAGCAAAAGATTCTGATGATATCAATCAGAATTCTAGTTATCTCTCATCTAGAATTATAATATAATATATAAAAATTGAATAGATTCCAAAGAATATAAAGCTGAAATAAGTGAGATAATAAGCCAATAAGAACCAACGCAAGATGTCCGCGTGTAAAATTTCTTTGTATCATACAGATTCTGTGCAGACTTTTCGACCTTTGCTTTGGGTCTTCTTCAGTGTATCACTGAGATAATAATTTCATGATCTCGCATGCCAATAATTTAACAGATTTGTTGACCTTTTCACAAACACTTGATGCTTCCAAACTTTATTTCTTTATTTATTATCGTCGCTTTTATTTTGTACATATTGTCTATTTATGTTATACGTTCGGCTCCGTTGTTCTCTCACAAGCTCATAATAACTCGCAATATGCACATTGGTTGACCATATCAGGATATCTTATCATAAATTTTCTATTGTAAGTTTTAATTTATTGACCATTGTATGATTAATTTCATTTACAGTAATTTCACTGCGACTTTTTTTATCGTTTTTTTTACAGTTTAATTTTACTAACTATTTAAGTATTCTACCAAATACTAATTGTAAATTAAGACGTTTTATTAATTTTAACCTTGGATTTCTTATTCTGATTATTTATTTTTTGCGACATACACACAATGAGAAAAATGGTCTGGTTGGATTAAATAGTAATTCTGATGGAAAATGGACACGAATAAGAATTTTCTAGTTAAATCTATTAGAATTCTAGTTGAGTTAACTAGAATTCTGATATAATTATTCTGGTAAAAATAAGAATTCTAGTAGATTTTTAGAAATATTGTATCAAACAGAATTCCGATTATCTCAACTAGAATTCTAATAAATTTAACTATAAAATTCTGATTCGTCCATTTTCAATCAGAAATTTTTTTAACAAATCTATTAAATCATTGGCATGCGAGAGATCATGAAGTTATTATCTGAGCGATACACCGTAGAAGACTCGAAGCAAGAAACGAAACGTCTGCACAGAATCTATATGATATAAAGAAATTTTACACGCGGACAAAATTCGTTTTCCAATGTAGGTAACGTTTTCTCGTTAACCCTTTGGCCGCATATAAAAATACGCATATGCGTTTATAGCCAAGGTGACATACTCTTGGCGATAAAGAAAGCTCTAAGAAACGATCAATCAAGGTGTCGATAATCTACATGGGAATAATAAACATGGCCAATGCACCGTAATCGCGGTGCACACGCTTGCCTAGCGCATTTTTAAAAGAGGCATGCGGCTCAACAGTGTCGCGGCGAAAAGGTTAATTCCAGTTAAAGTTCAACCATGATGTTTCCGACGAACATGCGGTGGGCTGACGATCAGGTATCGATGCTTCGCAACGTCGTAACGACGACACGACACGTTCCTTCGCTCGGCTACGCGCGATAATTAAGTGTCGCCCGACGACGCTCATCCCGCGCGGCCTCTAATATCGCGGCCGTCCGATAATATCTGTAATCCGCGCAAAACGATTTCGACGCGCGTGGCAACGGCATGAGCGCGTAGCGTGCCTCATAATTAGTCGGCAGACAGAGGGACGACGGAACAGAGAGAGAGAGAGAGAGAGAGAGAGAGAGAGGACACCGATCATAATTGCCGTTCGCGCGTCCGCGGCCGGGCACAATCAATTAAATGGTGCGCGCGTTCACCATCCGAGACGGAACAAGGCCTCCCCCCTTGGTCCCTGTTATAAATCGACATTCCTTTTTTCCCCTTCGAATAATCCCTAATTGAGTGGTCTGCATGTATATCGGAAAGATAAATTTTGAAAAATCGACGTTGCACCCATGATAAATGCAAATTGCCCCATCTGCACTCCGGGATTATCAGCGCAAACATTAATTTCCTAGAATTTATATGTTCTTCTCCGCTTTTTTAAAAAAAATTTCAAAGTACTTTAATAAAATAAAACGACGCTATCGTGTAACCGTTAAATAAAGTTGCGCGACGACGTGCGTTATCGTTGCATCAGCATTGTATTTAAATTGTTAATGCGTATCTTTATTACCTCGTCCGTGACGTAATCGAGATCGATACGTCGTACAGTTGAACGTAAATTAAATGATATTACTTTACACACCTTATCGTGCTTCCAACGGATTTTTTAACGTACGCAACAATAATTACTCTTCGATAACCGCCGCCGCGGCAATGCTTTTTAACTAACTTGTACGACGCTTCTCTCTCTCGCGAAGTTTTAATGAAATGAAAGGAAAAACTCGGGATAAAGTTGAAGCGCCATGTTACGTCACATGAACTAAAACTTATAAAACTTGCGGAGTCTTCATCCACTTGTCTTGTCTGTGTAATAACTTTAGGAAATATACGGCAGCGGGATATTTGCGTGATAACCGCGTAAAGAAATTAATATATAAAAAAAAAATATAAAGTGTGTGTGACATATATAATCCAAAATCGTGGCACGAGCGTGAACGTAAATTAAAGCGGAAGAGATTTACAATCCCTTTTTGCTACCGACATAAATGAAAACATACACAAGAAACTATCTTGATAAAGGACAATCACATTACGGAAATTTTAATTAGAGAAAAACCGTTTCCGGGGCTCTTTCCCTTTTAAATGTGACAGGGAAGAGATAACTAAAAGAACATTACAGCTAATTTGAAAATTAATTAAATTAAGTACCGCTTTCGTAATGGGTTTGTCAAATGTAATATTCGATATTTTCAATATCAAAGGAAAATTCGATAAAATGTTAAATTATGTTGGAAAAACGCTGACAAAAGGATATTGAAATAATACGTAATTAGCTCCTAGATTATTGATTGGTCATTTTAATGAGAAGTTAAATTTACGAAATTATATGTACACACATGCTTAAGATTGATTAAATAACTGTACGAGGAAATTACGGTAATCCCATTATCACGTTTCGCGTCGATTTTAACTATATATACGCGGCACGATGCATAATATGTCCGACAGACATCGTTAAATCTTAAAAGATAGCTTATCATTAAATAGACAATCGAACAGTATTACCTGTTGCTGCGGAGCGGCATACTGGTGATCCGAAATAACCGCGTCTGAAAACCAAAAACATTTCACTATAAGTATAAAACGTGAACAATAATACTTGATATATATTTTTACTGCAATTTTTATTCTTATTTAATTAATATCATTTTATATCGCAAACATTTATTATTCAGAAAAAATATCTTACGAGTCTGCGAAAAGTGCTCAAGATTTCGTTTTTATTTTCAGGTATCCATCACCGGTGCAGAATGGAGGACCAAACGGCACGACGACAATGAGTTGCGCGAGTTCTCAAGGTAAGAATAAAAAAGACCCCGCGCGATGTTGAACATTGCGGTGACATTGCCGCGGATCTCGCTCTCTCTCCGCAAAAGATTCGAAAACAATTCCGCTAATTCAATATGCCGCGCAACATTCGCGCGTTCGTTGCATTTAATTACTACTGACCGCGTACTGGCAATAAAGCCGCCGCGACTCGCAATAAAAGTGGAGAGAGAGAGAGAGAGAGAAAAAGAGAGCCGCATGCCGGTGCTCATTAATTAGCGGGTCCCGAAAAAAATTGCCTGGCAAAATTTTCTTCCGATTAAATTAGCGTTGCATTAAATTTATTGGCTGAATTCTCTTTCATAAACTGGCGCGCGAGCCGATCGCGTGCGCGGTTCACGGCTCTCTCGCTCGCTCGTTCGCACGCACAGTCCTCATACGTGTGTAATTTGCAAATATCAAACGTCGGGCGGATATTTGAAAATATTGACTCTGGTATTTTAGCCGGGCTGCGGCGCGGCCGGGCGGGCAGTCTCTCGGTGCAGAAGGGGGGAAAAAATTATCCGCCTCATGACGATTCAATATCGTGCGATTATCGCGGCAAAAGGATATCCAGAGAGAGAGAGAGAGAGAGAGAGAGAGAGAGAGAGAGGGGGGGGAGGTATCCATGCACGGATCAGATACAATATTAATTTTATATTTTTCGCTACTGTGTGACACAAGCCCCGCGTGGCGAGTGAGAGAGAGAGAGAGAGAGAGAGAGCCGCGCGCGTGCGACGAACGTGCGGTCGCGGCGACTCATACATACGCACGTGCGTGCACGTATGTACACGCCGCGCACTGCAAAAAGCTCGTCCCCGCGTTTATTCGCGATTGCGAGCGAGCCATTAAACAGATTCGCATGGAATTTCACGACGAAAAAGGGTCGGCGAGCGCGCACGGGCGCTCGGAAATTGCGCGGAACGCGCAATCAATGAAAAAGCTTCATTTCAACGCGAGCTTATTACGAAATTAATTTTCATTATAATGGGATTCTCACAAGTATCGCACGCCTTTCTATTTGCGATACTTTTGCATCGCGGACGTTCGCCATATAGATACAGAAAACACGTGGCACAGAAATTTCACGGAGGTTTTCATGAAACGCGGGTCCCTTTAAGTGTAATTTCAATTTTTGCCATGATTTTTTTTTAGAATAACAAAGGAGGAGCGGACTTTCAAAATGCGTTTTGTCTAAAATTTGTAATTTTCAGAAAACGAGAAAGAAAGAAACTCGGCACACAAGAAAATTACGCACTTTACAGAAAATAACAATACATGCCAATCAGATGTAAAATATTAAACAAAATTGTTAAACAATTGCTAAAAATGTTAAACAAATGCATTTTGTTTGTCTCTAGTCAAGAAACATATTCGAAATGTCTATGTTTTTTCAATATATAAATTAACGATGAAATAAGTGCTTTCTGAACATCTCAGAGTAGCTTATAATACGAGTATTTCAACCTTGAACCCTACGCACTGATCTCGTAAGTAAAAAATAAAATTTTGGACAAAATGCATTTTAGAATTGTGCTGTTGAAAGATTATTCGATGAATAATTCGACGGTGATTCGCAAGGAAAAGCCGAATCCGCTAGCAGATAAAGCGGTGTTCGCGAAATCGTTTAGATCGCGAAACCGTGTTGATATCGCCGACAATTGGCGCGAAATTGTAAAAAAATATATCCCGAGAGCGAGACCGATCCGGACAGGTTGGCGCACGTTATCGGCGATGCGTGTGGCGGGCGCACGACAATCGTGCCGAAATATACGCGCGGGGCAAAATCCGAGGCCAATTACAAACACGCCGTCTCACCGGGCTGTCAGTCATCAATCCGTGGAATATTTTTCTCTGGGTCAATTGAACAATTCTACGCGTCGTCGGACAGCGAGCGGATGGGCGCGAGTGGGCTGGGTTTTAATGTATTTGCCGTTACCGGGGGCTTTCAACGGCTAACCGGTAAATCTTCTGACGAGCGATTAACTCGTTTCTCTCGGTACTCCTCAGCTATTAAATTACCATCGACGATACCGCCGGCAATAAAACTTGTTCGGGGTGATACTAAACTGAGCGAAAGGTTGCGGTTCGGCCCAAGGATTATACAATAATCTTTTAAATCACTTAAATGCCTCGTTTATTTATTCCTCATCAAATTATCGGTATTACTTTGAGCTTTATTATCGCTGTGTATTATAGAATTGATGGACAATGTCTTTAATGACGTTTCATTCTTCACTGCCAGCTGCTTCGACGTGGTAAGGTACTCATTTTTATATCGGATTAAAACTATTTTTCACAGTTGATGAAAAAAAAAAAAATAGACAAGATCTTTCGTTAACGAGCAATTAAATCAAATGAAACGTAGATAAGAAACTTTCGTCAGTCAATAAAAATCATTTCCAACTCTTGGAACTTTATCTGAAAAGTACGAAAGGTTATTTTGCACAATCTTGTCAAGAATTATTTTTCATCGGTGATACACAGCGGTAATTTCATCTCGACGGGAAGCCGTAGGAGAAAGTTACAACTTACCGAGCTTTTTCCCCCGATTTTAAAGCCGTAGAAAAGATAAATTCGATCGTTTGAAAAAGTTGGCGAACAAATATCGAAAGTTCGAAGCGCGCACTTTGATCCCGGGCAAACCGCTCGGTAGCTGTATCTAGCCCGAGCAGAAAATTCAACTGGTGCCTGTTTACCTGTAGCTGCCGAGATTAGTTAGACGGTACTCGATGAGTCACTCATTTTGCCCTCTCGGTTACGCGGAGGAAGTATTTCACAATACGACGAGATGAGTGACAGGAGTTTCTGCGCGAATTAATAGCGCGATAATTCGGGCTAGTTAACGTGTACGTACGCGGGAGGAAAATAGAAGAAACACTTGGGGAATGATTAACGAGCCGTCAGGGGAGTCTGATGTCTGTGTTGGGCTGAGGAACTAAAATTAGGTGAAAGAAGTCTTGCTCCACGATTTATCACGATGTAAATGTAATGTTAATAGAAGTGGTGATTTAATTAGTATTTTTTTCGAGCATCAGTAAATTGTAGTTCACTCAGCACTCTCAAGGTTCGCTCCAGCTTCAGTTGCTCATTCCGCATTTTTTTTTTTCTTAACCCCTCACAGAATGAACTCGGGGGGAGGGGATGAGGAATTATTATCGCGCGCAGCTATAAAGAGTTAATCGCCGCAACACGTTGTCGCGTGAGAAAATGTTTCGCTCCACGCGACACCCGGGAGGCTCGAGAAAGCTCCCGGGGTGTCGGGGACGATGAGAACGAGCTCCGAAAATCTAAAGGGCGTCGCCCTGTCCTTGTCTCTGTGTGCAGGGGTGATGGTGAAGCAGGAGGCGAGGGACGACGGTTACGAGACGAGTCCGGACCTCGAGATGAGGAGCACCGGCGGTGACAGCAGTCAGCAGTATCACACGCCGCTGACACCACACACGCCGCACACACCGCACACGCCGCACACGCCCCTCACGCCGATATCGGCGACAGCGCATCAACCCCAGCAGCCGGGCTCGACCGCCTCCACCCTCGGACAGGTGAGTTTTTCATATTCGCCTACCCCGCAGCCCCCGTTCCCTCCTCCCTGCTTCTTCCTTCTTTTCCCTCGAGCTCTTTTACGTAGCGACCGATAACGAGCGACTCATTGTTACCGCGATGTCTCAAAAACAATCAGAGGGGATATCGGAAAGTATCTCGAGAACAGGTGTATCTCTCTCGTATCGCTAAATCGTTACGTTTGAGGGACTATAATTGAGACGTTTTGCGGCTGAATTACAACGTTGAAATGTCGGGAATAATGCTACGCTTGCAGAATATGTATATATTCGTGTGATTGCTTGTAATTATGCCGCGAGGTTGCGTGTGATGGTCGTACGGCATATTCTCAATCGATCTTACGTCAGAATTTTGGATTATATATAACATTTCATCTAATTTGCACTGACATAACAAGCTGAAATTAACGCTCGTATATTTTCGATTATCTACGCGAATGTATAAAAAATTTAAATCCTTGATATACATATATATATAAAATATATGATATAATTCGAAACGATTAAATACTCTCTTTTGTAATAAAATAATGCTCGTGTAACGCATTGATAATAATATAAAATTTACTGTCCACATGATACGATTATCTCGAAATTCTATAACGCGATAAAGTGCGCGATTTAAAATCTGTAGATCAGAGACGATGATATTTATAAACAAGTAGTAATTAAATAAGAAATAACGCGATCGAGGTCGATATGGAATTATGATAAATCTTTGCGATCGGATCCGCGTATTGTGACGTATCTTTAGCGATACTCGATAATCGATAGAGAAAATGTATGTTATTACGTACAAGAGAGAAAAAAATGCACGTAAAACACCAAACTTATTAGCCAATAAAAAACGCAGACGATTCTCATTAGGAACCGCTGTATTGGCGTATCTAGCACCTCGCAATCAAAATTATGAGCAATAAATTGCAATAAAGACGCGCGCAATCGCCACTCCGGGATTTTCGCAATGCCGCGCGCAGCGATTTGCATTTTCATGTTAGTTTTACGATCTACTTACGCAACATTACCTCTGTTGCGGTACAATGAAAGCCGTGGATGGACCCCGCACGCGGTGTTACTTATTTTCCACTTAATACACGGACGAAAGATCTTTAAACGAGTTGCTCAGCGAACGTTTATATCTGTGTAATTTCTTTGATTGTTACGCGATTACAAAATTTAACGCAAAACGTGCGATGAAAAAATTTCTGTTAATAAATATCACGGAAATATAATTTCATGATATTTCAGCGTTCCACCGGTTTCACGTTGTTTGATGAAAAATCCTTTTATATTTTTATAATGAAAACCGGATTCATTAATGAAAGGAAAAAAATATAAATTAATTTCTTAGAGAATTTTTCCCGAAAGATAGTAAATTTGAATGACACATTTCGTGACATCTATGTATTTATACATCTGCATCAAGAGGCACAACATATATAATTCATATATTGCGAAAGAAATACAAAAAGGGAGTTATTGCATCCTTCCAGCGGCTTTTGACTTTTTCGCATTACAACCCGGCAAAATAAAACTTTTACAAATGTGATTCGGTTGAATATTTTGACGGTGGTAATTTTCAGGGATTTCAATCAGAACGCACATTTTCCGCTCATGAATTAATTGCAGGTTGCCCAGCTCCCCCAATTTGGCTATCGGCGCTATCGCGCACGAATTACAGAAATTTCATCCGATATTAAATTGCCATTATATCCGCAAAGTTGTTATCCGCTGTCGGGATCGATAGTCTTTTTCTCGAAAATTATCTCGTGACGTGACGACCGATCGATCTCGGTTTTACCGGCTCCTCATTTTAACGAATGAACGGCCGACGAGCGAAGCGAATTTCCGTTGATCGAATTGTTAACCGTGAACACGTCCCGGATTTATCGAGTTCGCATTATCACGCTCCTCTTTTCTCGATCCTATTTCACATTGTTTTACTTAACCCTTCCCTAGATTCTGTGACGTCCAATTGTTTCTGCGTAAATGAGCTAGACGTTCATGATATAGATTTCTTTTTCCGAGACAATTGAAGAAATGAATAGCTTAAAAGGAACGTCACTTTCACGAAAGTTGCATTATCTTTATAGAAACAAAAATTAATAAAATCGAAATATTGTATATATATATATATATTTCAATATTTTTCTTTATATAATTGATTTTTTTCTTTTGAATGTAACTCAATTATTGCTTGGGAAAGAGACAGACGAGAAAAAGAGGAGTTGGATAAGCGGAGGTGTACGTTTGTTTTTATTATCACAACGGCGCGACGGATATTTTCCCGAAAGGTATAGATTAATGGCTCTTCAAATCGATAAACAAACATCCTTTGCGCAATGTCTCACAATAAAACTTTCCTATATTTACCTATTTTTTAACGTAAATATTGTGCTTTAACATCGCCGGGTAAAACAAATCTGTGCGTTGTTACATTCGCGACACTCGCCATGGTCCTTTTGTTTGCAAATAATAACAATGGGGCATGCGCGCACGTATGTTCTTATCGTGTGGAATATTGTCGGTGACTTTCGAGCGAAGCCCGAGCCCTGTGAAAAAGGGTAGGGATAACGTGTTATCGGTAACTACCAGTCAGTGCGGCTCTTATCTTGGTGGGATTTCGACCTCGATTTCGCAGGGTTATCACCGGGTCAAGAGCGCGGGGTACGCCGACTAGGAAAGTACCATATAGTCGGGAGATCAGGTCGAAAATTGCAAACGAGGGTATGTTTATGTGTATTGCGATAAAAAACCTCCGTCGGATTCACGTAATCTCTTATGCTTTCATTTCCGTGGGCGACTGGGCGTTGAAAAAGCAACGGGGGTTCTTTCCCCGGGTGAACATTAAATAATGCGACTCGTTGTAAAAGCACTATTCTTCTTATATATTTCTGAACGAAAATTGACACGGAAATTAGACATTGCGTTTTCGCCAATTGCACGAAATATTTTGCATCCACATTTGCTGAAATGAACAAATGATGGCGAGATCATTTAAAATTAAGAGTGGTGAATATGCGAATATCGATACGCTAAATTATCGCGTTATTGACAGCCTTCAGAATACAATAACGGCTTGTTGAATAATTTCTGATTTCATCGGGCGGGATAGCGCTTGAAGCATTTATTTTAGTCCACGATATCGGATTTTTGCACGAACGTCGAGAAGAGTCAGGGAACAAAACGTCACTTGGATACCTGTCGCGTTAATCATCTAATACGAACCTCGTTAATATCGCCACGACAAAACTCTATCGACATAAGGAACTTTCCAGATAATTTGACCTCCTTTATATTACTGACGTGCGCGTTTCACATCTTGTCAGATATTCAATTCTTATAGAGCTTGTCATTCATCCCAAGTAATTAGCTTATGTAGCCAATGTTACGAATCTTTCTCTATTTTTTTCTAATTTCATATTCAAAAAGAGGTAGAAAATCACTGAAACCTCAGTTGATTTTAGCTAATGCAAAAAGCAGACGGTACAAAAAGTGCAACGGGAGAAGAACGGTGATCGCGTCAGTCCGTAACACGCGCAATTTGCAAAAAAAGAGACACAGCTGCACATTTTACAACCGCGAATGGCTGATACGTTGTACGTGGCCGCGTATTTTCGGTCCATGTGGCAATTGCGCTATTACTATTTCCCCAAGGGCATCAAGAGAGACAGAACAGGGAGAGAGGGGGAGATAGAGACAGAGAGAGAGAGAGAAAGAGAGAGAAATATACATACATATAGCGCTGGCTGGGATACGTACGTTTTATGATCGCCACTGTACGTGTCCGTGATCGTCGGTACATGTTTTACGTCGGGATTGTACGTGCTCAGGAGAAATTTCATTTTTCCGCAGCCGACCACCTGCGAAACTTGCGGACGCGACGAAAAATTTCGCGGCGTAATTTCGAGGTAGAATTAAATTAGGCTGGAACATCAACCGTCATCGCGATTCGAGATATCACAAGGATAATTCGCCGCGACTGGTGCGCCAGCATTTTTCTTTCTTTCGGCCGCATGTATTATTCAGGAAAACGCGAGAAATTCGGTCAGTAAATATACGGTAATATGGTCTACCCTTAATATCGCGATGAAGAAACATCGCATCGGAATTTATTGTGAAATATTGGGAGCCTTATAATTTTTCATAGATTATATGTGGATTATTTATTAGATACGGTTTACGATTTTTAATTATGAATCGAGATGCTCCGCAGAATTGAAATATTCAACGAAGAAACAGAAACGTCAAACACTTTCTTCCCATCTTCCGTCCTTGATCTCTAGCACTTCCGTACCATTTGGTTGCGGAAGTTCCAAAATCCCTGTATTATCCCAGCGGGACACGACGGCGCCGTCGTATATATAATAAGCTGGACGTATCTACCAACGTCTGCTGACATTCTTTTCCAGGTCGCGATAAAATGCGAGACGCCGGTGGACCCATATTCGTTTGTCGACGAAGAGATGTCGATGGGTGGCATAAGGACAGCGAGCAGTCCAGGCGGCGGCGGCGGCGGCAATCCTGAGAGCATGACGTGTCCGGGCGGCGCCCAACCTGGGCTAGGTACACCCACGACGCCGCCCGGGGCGCTGTCCGGGCCACAACATCATCAGATGAATCTTGTGATGAACGGCGCCGCCAACGTCAATCCGCAGCTGGCGCATCAGCCGAAGAAGCGAGGCCGCAAAAAAAAGTCGGAGATGATACTCACCCCCGAGGAGTAAGATTCTAACATATTCATAATGTATAATCAATTCTGATTTCTCGTCAGCAACTGTGATTATACTAATTTCGTCATTCTAAATACAGTTTCGCTATTTTGCGAAAATTATGTACTTTTTGTTACAATTCAATTACATATTTGCGTAATCTTGACAATTTTTTATTGGACACAAGGCCCAAGACGAGACTCGTCGGATACGTCGTAAGACTCGCTATTTCAGAAAAATTTTAATTCAAAATCGTAATAAAATAATATCGTTCACGGGCGTGTGAAATTGACTGCGCAATGTAAAGATTCATTTACGGTTTCAATCCTTTAAGGATAAGCATCGTGAAATCATATTTTCACGTATAGTTTATACCAACGTGGCCAGAAGGAATTAAGTCAAAGTTCATATTAAATAACACTTTACACTTTCGCAAAATTGAGTTCAGAATTTACTATCTATAGTAAAGAAATATTAATAATAATAATAATTATTATTATTACAAGTGCGTTAATGAGTACAAAGAGGAGCGGAGCTGAGAAGGAACGCGGACCGGTCACGAAGCCGCGACTCAATATAACCAGAGTTAGTTATATATTTGCATGCAGCCACGGTTAAAAATATCCGCTCTGCTAACAATGTCCGTCTGACCGGGCACCATGTTGCTGATCCGATGGGATCTTCAGTTGCGCTTATTTTTGTGAAGCCGGCCGAAAACTTAAAAATAGTTCCGCATATTAAGAACGTAACACGATCAGATGCGTGCCGCTATTACGAAGATACGTCAGGAGATAACGCGATCATCAAGACGTTAATTGAAGATCTTAAGAGAAAATTATTCATGCTCTCTTGACACGTGTTGTACATCGGTATGTCCATTTAATTGAATACCTCGTGGCTAAACACAAAGGCCCATTATGCTTACGTATAATAAATATTCTGCTCCATTCCCTATCATTTTTTCACGAAATTGCACGCTACTGTTCCATAAAACTTGAAAGGAAGAACGGCCTACGCAAATATATTAATTAGCGTGGTCAGTCATCTATTGTACATCTCACTGCTGAACTATGCTAATTAACATTTTTTATTTACACAATACTTTAACTCACATTAAAGTTTATTCGCGTTTATTGACGCTAATATTCAAAATATCAAAAAATTATTTTTATAACAATATTTTCATAACATTTTTTACAAGAAACCATGTCGGAAATGTTATAACATTAATATTAATCGACAGACTAATGGTTTAAATTTACAAACTGACACGGAAGCCTTAAGCCAAGCTTACATAGAAATACTTAATTAAGTATAAAGTTATTGTTTTCAAGACTGACCCCTCTGTTACATATCAGCGTTTTATTATCGGAGTGAACGTTATGACACTGTCAAGACATGCTTTTGATCCGTTCCGAATTTTAATCTCTTATTTTAATTTACGATGACATTCTGCAATTATCTCGTGATTTACGATGTATCATCATTTTGTTGTGACCTTGTTGACTCCGTGAGCACAATTTTCATTTCTATCGTCCTCTATAATTTTTACCTTCTCCAACGATTTTTTTTTAAATTTTAGCTTGAGTCTTTATCGCCACTCAGCTTACTGTGTTGGATAACTTGTTCTTACCTCGCGAATGCTCCACAATGGTCGCATATAAAAGGAGAGAAAACTGTAGAGAGTAAACTCTGACTGTGATTTATTTATTGCTGTAATTATTAAGGTTATAACGCTGAAGATGACTGAAACAGGAGTCGAAACGTACGAAATATGATATTACTAATTAAATATATATCTCGAAATCTTTAACAACCAAAGATTGACTCCTATAGCTTTCTATATGATTTTTTTTACTGTTTGTTGTATTTTCATAACGTTTTATTACCCAAGTATGTTTTGTTTTAAAAAAAAGTAAAGTTCGTAAATTGCATTTTGCCATCGTCATTTTATCTCGCGAGATCCGAGCTTATTCATCCCGACGTATTCACGACGGCTTACAAGTCCCAGGCCGATACAAAACGTTACATTGTGTTACAGTGTCACAAATCGAAACGCGAAGTGTCCAAGATGCGCGCGAGTTCGTCGGCTTGACAAAAAGCAAACGCGGAAAGCTCGCGTCCCCTGCCGATCGAGAGAAATAGTTGCGCACCTTTCGCTGAATCGTATGACGCAGCATAAAGGAATCCAGCGTATTATTAAGGCCCTCTGTAGCCACTTTTTTTTTTTTCTTTCAGAGCGGAACTCGCAGAGGCCAAGAAACGTGCAAAGACGTACAAAGAGAGGAAGAAGCACGACAGGTTCGACGGCATGCCGGAAGAGGAAGTGAGCAAACGCGTTCTACCGGACCACCTCACCAACAACCTTGACATTATTATAGTAAGTCCATGTATAATTATTTCTAGAGACTCTCAAACAAGAGTTTGGACACGAGCCGAAGTTTTGTGTAGAGAGAAGTGGGTTAACAACAAAAGTCTGCGAGAGAGAAGGACATGTATTTACCGTTTCTTTCTCTTCCTCGTTCTGTTGTATCTTTTTTTTTATCTATTTCTCTCTCTTTTTCTTTCTCATAAATTATTGAAACATGACTAAAAGTGGCTTTCTTAAGTTCAGACTCTCATTAGAGGATCTCTATAATGTTTATCAATATTTGAGAGGAAAAACGTTGGAGATATCATTTTGTCATGCAATACTCCAATCGTTACGCCAGGGTGAAAAATTGCTGATGAAGACTCAAACCATGAGTGGAAACGTTCAAAGTTAAGGTTTATATATTTAGTATTAAGAAAAATTGCGCTAACTGATAACCAGCGTCGACTCCTATTGCCTGTAATACATATTTTTATGGTTTTATTAGTTAATTTATTTAAAGAAGTTTGTAAAAACTTATTAGTTTTTATATTAATTTGTAATTTGTCATCTCTATAATTATCTCATACTCATATTAGTATCGATTCATATAAATACGACCTAAACTGACCTACGACTTATGGCTGTTCTTTATCACGTATCAATATTGCGTCATCTTGTCAAGTCGTGTAAATTTCCGGAGAACATTCTATATATCACGTATATAAGCGCGGCTATAACATTACATTAAAGGTGCTTTAGACAGCTAACAATAGTTATACATGCGGAATACCAGATAGAGCACGCGCACGTTTCAAACGGATCATCCAGTATCGATAAATTGAATTATTCGCGAGGTTGTCGCGAATCGTCTCGCACTAAATAAGCGACGTTTCAATCCCGCGGCGTTTCACTGCCGAACGGCAATAATAATTCATTAAATCGCGTCGTAACATTAACAACAATAAAAACATCAATTTCACCGGCTCACGCATTTCTACGGGCACACACACCGCGTATACGCGCCACGGAACATAATTTATAGCCCGGCATATATCGCGGCCGTGCGTGTCATTTGTAATGCCGCATTACCAATGCGCCGCGATGTCGTTCTTGATCGAATGACGGTAATTAATCCGATACGCGCGTGCGGCATGGCACGACCCGACACTCGGCTCGGCTCCGCTCGGCTTTAACCAGCGCGAGAATCCATCTTGGAGTCACCGCCGCGCGAAAACGCGAGGATTCTCTGCACACGGCAACGACAAATGGCAATCGCCGCCTCCACAACAGCCGGCCTAATCGCTTTAATGATCCGTGTGCGATTCGGTTATCACGCGGCACGCCGGTCATTGCGTTCCGTCAGCACAGAGAGAAAGAGAGAAGCGGAGAGAGCAAGAGAGAAAAACTCGCGGTTGTCGCAAATTCTCTCATCCTAAAATTCCATGACTTTTCTCTGATTTCCAGGTGGAATTCCATGATATTCCCCGACTTTCAATAATATTTAACAATTTTTTTGTATTTTCGTTCTGACTTGGAAATGGTTAAATATTTTGTTGAGAAATTTATATAGCGATATAAAAATGATGATTAATGTTACTAATTGTTTACATTTTTAATTGTTAAATTGGTAGTAAGGTGTGATGATGAACGTATTAAATGTTTTTAAAACTGAAAATTTTTATTTTCCCTGTTTTGCAAAATTCTCTGACTCTTGCCTGATTTTCCTGACCGCTTTCAATTTCCCTGACAATCCCGTGATTTCCCTGATTTCCAGTTTTGTGGCAACTCTGAAATTGTTTGACCATCCGGCTAGGTTCGCCAATGTTGGGAAACTTAAATTTTGGTTGACTCTCTTCTTGTCTTTTTGCAAAACTAGAGAGAATTAAAGGAAAGACTAAATCTAATTAGAGGTTAAGCTTAATTAACACGGCGAAATCACAACACAAGTAAGTTATCGATTGTTCAACAGCACGAAATATATTTTCAGAGATGAAACTGAATCGGAATTGCTCTCGTAAAATGAAGAGTATCGTCAGACTTGATAAGTCAAATCGTCCGTCAGAGAGAGTGTTATTCTGAATTCGTCGGCGGATAAAGAATCGACATTGCGATCGGTTGAAATCCGAAAACAATTTCGGACGATTCTGTTCTACGTACGTGTCATTTTCGTCACCGCGCGTTAGCGTGATCTTTATTGAATGCAAGCGAGAGAATGGGAATTACGTTCTCGTTACAAACGCGACGACCCGCCGCGCGTTGATCGATCACCCGATACCGGTGTAAACGGGTATAAACAGTTTAACGGGTGAGCATCATGGTCATTACGAGTGATTGTTATAATCCGATATGCGGCCGTCGTTATCAAAATTGGGGTGACTTAAATGACGGAACCGAGAGGCTCGTAACGATTTCAGTATTTTAATCGTATCACAACATCCCCGCAACGTAGCTTGATTTATATTCAACCCCGATTCTCTTTAGAATAATGAAATTGTCATATTTTTGACAGCGCGCGCAATTATGTAGTATTATGATGAGTGAGAGCGTATTATTGAAGCAATTTGTCGATTAATTTAGTGTACAAATATTAAAAATTTAATTACTATGGTATTACATGTTCTCCCTGTACGTCTCGTGGTGCAGAATCATTCCAAAAAGCTGAATAAATTCCAAAACTTGTTGAACCCGATCATGCATGAGTTTTTTCGAGTTAACTCGATTTCGCAACGCGCGTAATTTAGGGGTCACTCGCGAGGTTATTTTTTTTTTAAGCATTCAAAACGTCGCTGGTAAACGAAAGAAAACTCCAGATCGTTCTCATTCTCTTTCTCCCTGTAAGAAAGGGGGCACGCACGTTATTTATCGCAAAATAAGGCACGAACGCTGTCGGCCATTTTCATTCGGGGAGTCTGTTAACGCGCTCCACGGTCCATATTCATATATTACCCGAAACGAGTTGTCACCGTGGTCGATCATCCGTCAAGCGGTGTAAACGCTTTAACGGGCCGTGGGCAATTCGGTTATTACGCCCGACGTTGTAATCGAACGCAGCGGGACACTGTTCGCTGCTCCCCATAGAATGCACCCCCTGGTGC